CGGTCAGGGTACATCCCTGAGTTTTGGGTTCATATCTCTCTCTCTCTCTCTCTCTCTCTCTCCCCTCAGGTGAGGATTTAAAAAAATAAAAATATAGCCCTAACCGGTTTGGCTCAGTGGATAGAGCATCGGCCTGCAGACTCAGGGGTCCCAGGTTCGATTCCGGTCAAGGGCATGTACCTTGGTTGCGGGCACATACCCAGTAGGGGGTGTGCAGGAGGCAGCTGATCGATGTTTCTCTCTCATCGATGTTTCTAACTCTCTATCCCTCTCCCTTCCTCTCTGTAAAAAATCAATAAAATATATTTTAAAATAATGAAAAATATAAAGCAGTGTTTTAAAAAGTACAGTTAAGGTTGATATCATTGTGGTGTGTTATAAAGGTGGGAGGCGCAGGAAGCTAGATTGTTTTGGTTTGAGGTTTGGCCCTTTTGGTTTTTGGATTTTTAAAGCTTTTTGCTCCCCCAGTGGGTTTAATATACAGCCTCAGGCACACAGAAAAGGAGACGGACGATAGCAAGTACTCATGTGTGCACCGGGTTAAGGAACACACATCACAGACACGGTGGGAACACCTCCCCACCCTTTCTCCTTCCAGAGGGTAGCCACTGTCCTAGGTAAGGACTTTACCATAGATATCCATAAAGGCAATAAAAACGATACGTACAGATATCTTTCTGCTACTTGCTTTTTTGTTCCAACGTTACCTTTCTGAAATGCATCCTTGCTGATTCACTTAGTCGGAAACATTCTTTTTTTCCCCATAACTGTGAAGTCTTCTGTTTTAAACATATATGATCATTTTTTAAAATCCTTCCATTGGCGGAGGTCAGGGAGGTGTACACTTCAGCTTTACTGAATGTTGTGCTCCAAAGCAGTACCACGGTCGTTTTTGTTGTTTTATTGTGAGAGAATATACACCATGTAACACGTACCATGTAAACCATGTTTAAGGGCACAGTGCAAGTACATACACGTGTGGGGCAGCCATGACGGCGGTCGGATCCCAGAACTGAAACTCTGCACTAAATGAAGCAGTGACTTCCATGCCCTCCACCCCCCGCCCCTGGTGACCACTGTCCTACTTTCCGTCTCTGTGAAGTTGACTCCTCTCGGGACCTCACCTCCGTGGAATCATCCAGTATTTGTCCCTTAGTGAAATACGGCTTATTTCACTTCCCGGTCTTTAAGGTTCATCCATATGGTAGCATGTGTCAGCACTTCCTTCCTTTCACGCAGGGGTGGGGAACGTCCAGCCCAGGGGGCGTATGAGGCCCGAGAAATCATTTGGTCTGGCCCTGCCAAGCCGTTAGGGGTGAGTTAATTAAATGTTTGACCACTTGTAGCAGGCTAATTTTTTTAAGTTGATAATTTTGTAGGGCCCTCGAATGATGTTACAAATATCCACTTGGCCCTTGGCAGAAAAAAGGTCTCCCCCCCACACACACTCCTTGCTTTAAAGGGTGAATAATATTCCACTGTATGGACCACATCTCATTTATCCACCCACGGGCCGCTGGGCATGTGGGCTGTCTCCAACTTTTGGCTACGCCGAGCGGTGCTGCCGTGAACGCTGGTGTGCGAAGATCGGTCTGAGTCCCTGTGGTCCCACGGGGGATCCCCACAGGTCGTCCCTCGAGGGGACCCAGGTGTTTCCAAATCCCAGAACTGTGTCTCCATCACCAACGTGGCCTTCTGAAGGTGACCCTTCGTATGTGGGCCCGTGGCTGCCCTGACCCTGCGGCTCTGAGAGGTCTGTTCTGCAATATGCCGACAACTTCAGGTGGTCTTTAAGTTTCACCCATACGGTAGCATGTGTCAGAACTTCCTTCCTTTCACACAGGGGTCGGGAAAGTCCGGCCAACTGTGTCTCCATCACCAACATGGCCTTCTGAAGGTGACCCTTCGGTATGTGGGCCTGTGGCTGCCCTGACCCTGCGGCACTGAGAGGTCTGTTCTGCAATATGCCGACAACTTCAGGAAGATTAAGTTCACGCACCAAGAAACCAACTCAGCTCTGAATTTCGCCTCCAGCCCTGGCGAGACTAGAGAAAAGCTGACATCTGAGCAGCGGTTATGACGCTGGAGCAGACTTACCCGTAGGGCCAGCGAGAGCCCGGTTCCCAGGCACTGCTCGCTCGGAGGGAAACTGAAACCGTCTCAAGGTGGTATTTTATTTTATTTTTTAAAATATATTTTTATTGATTTCAGAGAGGAAGCGAGAGGGAGAGAGAGAGAGAAGCATCAATGATGAGAGAGAATCGTTGATCGGCTGCCTTCTGCACGCCCCCTATTGGGGATTGAGCCTGCAACTGGGCCTGCGCCCTTGATCAGAATCGGACCGGGGACCCTTCAGTCCGCAGGCCAACGCTCTATCCACTGAGCAAAACCGGCTAGGGCCCAAGGTGGTATTTTAAAAAGAACCTTTCTAGGGCCTTGGTTTTTCTTTCTTTCTTTTTTTTCAGTTCTAGAAATAATTTGCATCTTTCGTTTCTTAACTGGGTGATACGGTTCTCTCTCTCTTTCGGAAAACCTGGCGTCTTTCATGACAAAATATACAGATGGACCCAGGTGCCCTTCTCATCACCTCCTGTCAGAGCCGTCTTCCCGCAAGCCCTGGCGAGACTAGAGAAAGCTGACATCTGAGCAGCGGTTATGACGCTGGAGCAGACTTACCCGTAGGGCCAGCGAGAGCCCGGTTCCCAGGCACTGCTCGCTCGGAGGGAAACTGAAACCGTCTCAAGGTGGTATTTTATTTTATTTTTTAAAATATATTTTTATTGATTTCAGAGAGGAAGCGAGAGGGAGAGAGAGAAAAGCATCAATGATGAGAGAGAATCGTTGATCGGCTGCCTTCTGCACGCCCCCTATTGGGGATTGAGCCTGCAACTGGGCCTGCGCCCTTGATCAGAATCGGACCGGGGACCCTTCAGTCCGCAGGCCAACGCTCTATCCACTGAGCAAAACCGGCTAGGGCCCAAGGTGGTATTTTAAAAAGAACCTTTCTAGGGCCTTGGTTTTTCTTTCTTTTTTTTTTCAGTTCTAGAAATGATTTGCATCTTTCGTTTCTTAACTGGGTGATACGGTTCTCTCTCTCTTTCGGAAAACCTGGCGTCTTTCATGACAAAATATACAGATGGACCCAGGTGCCCTTCTCATCACCTCCTGTCAGAGCCGTCTTCCCCCAGGTCCCACACTCCCCTCTGTGGTGGGAGGCCACTGGGCAGAGCCCACACCTAGTGGGTGGGGAGTTATGCGCCCCGTGCTTTCTAGGTTTTAAAAAGTTATAAAATGAGCCCGGCCGGCGTGACTCCGTGCGTGGTTGAGCATCGACCCATGAACCAGGAGGTCACGGTTTGATTCCCGGTCAGGGCACATGGGACTGGGTTATGGGCTCCGTCCCCAGTGTGGGGCCCACAGGAGGCGGCCGATCAATGATTCTTTCTCATCATTGATGTTTCTCTCTCTCTCTCCCTCTCTGAAATCAATAAAAATAATATATATTTTTTAAAAGGCATAAAGTGATAGAGTCAGATCCAAACAGCAAAGAAAGGGGTCCAACAAAGCCCGTTGTTAGCAGCCGCTTGTGTCTCCTTCTGGGGATGTTTTTCAACGGTGCCCTTCTCATCACCTCCTGTCAGAGCCGTCTTCCCCCAGGTCCCACACTCCCCTCTGTGGTGGGAGGCCACTGGGCAGAGCCCACACCTAGTGGGTGGGGAGTTATGCGCCCCGTGCTTTCTAGTTTTTAAAAAGTTATAAAATGAGCCCGGCCGGCGTAACTCCGTGGTTGAGCATCGACCCATGGACCAGGAGGTCACGGTTTGATTCTCGGTCAGGGCACATGGGACTGGGTTACGGGCTCCGTCCCCAGTGTGGGGCGCACAGGAGGCGGCCGATCAATGATTCTTTCTCATCATTGATGTTTCTCTCTCTCTCTCCCTCTCTGAAATCAATAAAAATAATATATATTTTTTAAAAGGCATAAAGTGATAGAGTCAGATCCAAACAGCAAAGAAAGGGGTCCAACAAAGCCCGTTGTTAGCAGCCGCTTGTGTCTCCTTCTGGGGATGTTTTTCAACGCTTGTCCCAGCCCCTGCGTGGGTATCCACCCTCCACCCACCCACGCACAGGCGAGCGTGTCCAACCTGCACAGCATCTGTCATTGTGAAATCAGACACATGGACTTTTTTTTTAATATATATTTTATTGATTTTTCACAGAGAGGAAGGGAGAGGGATAGAGAGCTAGAAACATCGATGAGAGAGAAACACCAATCAGCTCCCTCCTGCACACTCCCCACTGGGGATGTGCCCACAACCAAGGTACATGCCCTTGACCGGAATCGAACCTGGGACCCTTCAGTCCGCAGGCCGACGCTCTATCCACTGAGCCAAACCTGCCAGGGCCACATGGACTTCTTATGAATGCGATTCCTCCAGCACGTTACTGGCCCGGGACGGTTCCCACAGCCCTTGGCAGGAGCTGCCCACGGTAACAGTCCTCCATTGGCACAGGGATAGTTTGAAAGGTGCGTGTGCGTGTGTGCGCGTGTTTAATTCTGTGCAGCTTTTTTTTTTTAATGAAGATTCTTCTCAGCAGCAGGTGTTAATGCAGGCGCTAAATCGGGAACGCTGTCATCACTGTGAAATTCTGCACGTCTCCCCCGCGACAGATGGGGGTTCATGTTGCACACGCCTCCCGTCCTGATGGCTCTGCACGCGCTACGGTCTGACGTCATCTCGCCTTCGGGTCACCTCCACCTCCTGACCCCAGCCTCCTGCTGCAGGTTTCCTGGTCCCGCTCCTTTTCTTTTTTTTTTTAATCCTCACCCGAGGATATTTTTTCCATTGATTTTTTTTTTTTAATAGAGAGAGTAGAAGGGAGGCAGGAGGGAGAGAGAGACATTAATAGGAGAGAGGCACATCGATTGGTTGCCTCCCACAAGCCCCGAACTGGGGGCCGGGAATCGAACCTGCAACCAAGCTACGTGCCCTTGACGGGGAATTGAGCCCGAGACCCTTCGGTCCACAGGCAGACGCTCTAACCCTTGGGCCACACGGGCCAGGGCTCACTCTCTCCTTTGAAGAGGGGCTGCCTTATCGGATCCCCCAAATCTGCCGCCTCCTCCCCAGGCTCTCGCCTCTTCGTTTCATCATCCGTGTCGTGTTTAACTGCACGCGTACCATGTGCACCCCCGCGTCTGCGGTTCCCGGGCTGCTTTCACCGCCGCCAGCTGGAATAAGTGTCTGTCTCTCTTCTCGCCTGGACACCAGGAATCCAGGAGTCTCCGCTGCGGTGCTGGCAGGACCGGCTCCTTCTGCCTTCCGGAAGCTTCTCGAGGCCCTGCTCTCCTTAGCTGGGAGGTGGCCCCTTCCATGTTGAGGGCACACCACTCGCACGCCCTCCTACCCCGGGCCACACGGCCCTGCCTCCGACCCTGCCTCCCTCTTAGAAGGGCTCCAGCCACCTGGTCACCGGGAGGCTGTCCTGCCGCAGGGTCCCTGACCGCCTGGCACCTGCCAGGCCCCATCGGCTACAGGAGGCAGCGTGGCAGGTGCTGGGGGTGAGGATGTGGGTTTTCTCGCAGGATTGCTACTCAGCGCGCCACACCGTCCTCCTCGAAAAAGAAATGAACCGCGAGCTCAGACCTTGGACCACAGAGCTCGGCTCTGCTCGGCTCTGCATCCTTTCTCAGGGGCCACTCAGCCTGAGTGGTCGGCAAACCGCGGCTCACGAGCCACAGGCGGCTCTTTGGCCCCTTGAGTGTGGCTCTTCCACAAAATACC